GGGGGGGGGGCATCTGGCTGTGAATGGAAAGGGGCTCTAGGAATGTTTTAATCTGGGAAAATCTATATATGGTTCTTTACCGATGGCATTACATCTAGCATAGACTTGCTGGTTTGGTCCCAGGTTGCTTGCTGCATTGTTTCTGGACCTGCCCACTGCCTGGCTCTATGATTCACATCTAGTGGTCCTACCCCATGGCTAGATGTTTGTGGATCCGGGTATCTAATACGTTCAATGCTCTCCGTGTCTCTGTCTAGGGACCCCTGTGAAGCCTTGCTTAATAGACCGTCTCCAGGCTTATCCCGATACAAACGTTTGTTAGTTGTCCAAATTTTCACAGCTACCAAATTGATTATAGCAAAATCCTGGAAATCCCCCGCGTTAAGCTTTGAGGCGGTCAAGCAAAAAATACAGTGCATAATGATCGATGAAAAGCTGAATGCTGTTTTAAATGATACCCACCCTCGTTTCCTTAAAGTATGGCAACCCTGGATCTCTTACTTCCAACCTACTCGCTTTGACCAAACCTTAATGTCCCTTTGTAGGGGCCAAAGGAAATATCACCGCTCCAATTCCTTTGCCGCCATTAGGACTCCCCAGGTGCTGGTCCAATAGGTGCGTCTCCCCCTTGGAATATATAAGTATGCAAACAGACTGCACTATCCAGAGAATTCCAATACTTCAGACTTTATTGAAATTCACAGCAAATCCAGTATAACAGTGAATAAAAGTGTATAAAGCAGCAAATACCAGCACTGCACACCCCCAACCAGCTCTCATATGTTTCACCCGTAGGCTTATTCATGTCCCTTTGATAGATATTGCCCATTTGAGTATGATTCCCCCTGTGGCCCCCATCTTTTCTCTGAAGTTTCTCTCTTTTCTTTCCATTTTCTCACTTCTTCTCCCCTTCTTTTCTGCTACGATACCCTCAAGGGTCTTTGTATTGGTTTTTGATTACATTATGGACATGATGCCTATATTTCCTGCTTGCATTATATGATACTATATATCTTCTTATGTTGTACCACATTGTACTTTTTGGATTGTTCCTTTTCTTGCATAATAAAATCTTTTGGTGGAAAAAAAAAAAATCAGTCAAGGGTCATTTTTTTACCTTAGCATTCTTCTTGTGCAGCTGTTTTCCCTGTCAGTGTGTACAGTCATTAAGGTTTGTGAAGGTTATCATTTATCCAGGTTATGGTACAGTATTAGTACTAACACTAGCAATGTAACTTTATATACTGTATGCAAGACACCGTAGTGAGAAAGGCTTGTACAATGGAGAGACAAAACAACCCCTCATCTAACAGATAGCCCATAGGGGAACTCTGTAGGTCAGGATTTCTTAGTCTTACTACATCTTAAGGAAAAAGAGACATTATTTTCAGGAAAGTGAGGTGGATATTTGGAATAGAGATGACAACTGATTCACAAAAGGTGTGAAAGAGGCCATTTGTGTCAATCTGGGACAACCATCCCTAAACAGGTCTAGAGGCCCTCAGCACCATTTGTCACCCACATATTATGCCATTTTAAATTCTTGATCCTGGTAATTCGTCAGCCATGTAACTCAAACAAATAACACTTGTCCCAATCAACGTCTGCCCTGATATATTACACCATGGTGATTGGATTGAGGTGACTGACTTACCAATGTGGCTATAAACGCTGGGGTAGGAGTGGAAAAACATCAACATGAACAAGTCCAGTTCAATGTGACTAACTACTTCAAGCCAGAGTGTGTTAATTATCTAGGATGATCATAGACACATGTCCTTCAAGTTCTACCACTAACAACGTTTTAAAGGTAAATCCTCCTGATGTCAAAGCTGCCTCAAATTGGCACATTTTCCTTCCCAGGTACATGGACAGTATAATGCTAAACATTCAAATATCTTTACATTGGACCCAAATCCTGGAATAATGTTTGCCAACTGCTCCTATTGCTGTAAAAAAAACAAAAACCTTTATATACTAATGGTAAACCAGTCTTTTCATGATGTCCCCTTGTAGTTTGCATAGTCCTTGTAATAAAACATTCATTTTTTTATTTAAAAAATGTCTCCCCTTTTTTCCAATAGCCTTGTCTCTTTATGGGCAGTGCTGAGACCAGGCGATGGATTACACATGGTGGTATACTAGTTAGCATGGCTTGATTGCAATGCTTATGGCATGAGATCATAGGACTCAGCATCAGATACTTTTTTCAGTAGTTTATATTTAGATATCCTAACAGCTTTAGAAAAATATGCCAACCAGTGTTCTTTATCCCTTTGTGTTCCTATTGGAACATTTAAGTAAATTTGTTTGCTCGCCTTTTCTTGAAAAGTGACCCCAGATTAGACATGTGCACCAGCAAAAAATTTGTTTCGTTTGGTTTTGATTCGAATTTTGCTTTATTTAGTTTTTCGGAATTCGGGTCCGAAAGTAAATTCGTTTCGGAATTTGGATTCGGACTAAATTCGTACGGTAATCCGTACGAAATTACGTTTTGTTTTCGTTTCGTTCGTTCGTTGCAGCAAAGTGACATTTAAGAGGAAAAAAACATTTTTTTTGTTCTCAAATGTCACTTTGCTGCAACGAAATTTCATCCAAAAAACAAAAGTTCGTCCAAAAAAAAAGAATCGGAAATTCGGATTCGTTTGCATTCGTTATATCTGTAATTCGGAATCCGAATCTCCGAATTTCCGAAATTTCGTCCGAATTTCGATTCGGAACTAAACGAATCGCACATGTCTACCCCAGATTCATAGAGCAGGAAGAAGTAAGAAGTCACAAGCACACCGGTCTCCATCTTATCAATCCGTCTTTATTGACGTCAGATAATCATGGTATCATAAAACAAAAGCATTTGTTGCGTGATACCATAAATACCTGACGTCAATAAAGATGGGTGATAAGGTGGACTGGTGGAGACCAGTGTGTTGGTGACTTAATTCTTCTTCCTGCTGTACACGGTGCCATCCGCTTGTCACTGCAGCACCCACCAAAGCAATTAAAGGGGATATATCGGTCAGTAGCGCAATGGGACATTCCTAGGTTTATAGAGCTGACACCACATGCTTGGAATGTCTTCAGAACATGCCAGAATTCTAGATTCTCAGGACACTCTATTATACAAATATCAACAACAGTTTACATTGTCAGGTTTGAGCCTACTTCCTGCCATGCCTGGTGAATTCTTATTGGCCATTGAGGCCACCAGGTGCATTAGGAAAAAAGAGGTGGAGGGAAAGCCAGTCAGAGTTCAACCACAGACATTATGGCTAGAAGCTGGATGGGAGAGCTGCCCAGGTTTTGGTTTTATGTAGTCTGAACTTCTTAGGTTTTTGATAGGTTAACATTTCAAAAGGGAATCTAAAAAAGTCATATTTGCAGCTGTCTACAGGTGTATTGTAGTCACAAGCATAAAAGAGGTAGCAATATGGCCAGAAGCAGTGTAAGCAAATTCTAAGGATTGTAAATATTGTACTAGGGACACTAACAGGGTTATTCACAAAAGGATGAAGAGTTTGGAGAAGGCCGGAGAAGTGGACAATGTAGGCCAAAATAGCTGATTTCGAAAAAAATCTCCAGTTCAGCTCACTTTTCAGTTCAGCTATGTGGTCCTAGATTGTTCACCTCTCCTGCCTTCCCCAAACTCTTCACCCTTTTGTGAATAACTCTGTAAGACATTACTCAGACTTTGGGCCTGGTAGGTAGCAGTAGCCTTGGGGTGGCAAGGTAACTAAAGCAATAGGCAAAGTAGCTGGAGCCATTCTTAGCTTACCTTAAATCCCACTTAGCTTACCTTTTCTAAGTAATGTAAAGGAGGGGGCAGGGGAGTAATGTTTGTCATAATGAACCCAATCGGACTTGTGCTGGCAGATCTCCTATTCAGATGCGTAGGGATGCCTGTCCTAATAAACGGTTAAGATCTCAAGGCTTGGGTGGTATATTGCAGTGCACTCAGCCTTTCCCTCCAATCTGCCCCACATCTGCCATCCATTCAAAGCAATAGAAGCTGCACATAGAGTCCTATGTATAACTCCAACACAATAAAACAGCTAAAAAAAGGTAAGGAATATTTTTTAAAACATTATTTTTGGTATGCTGAGTGAACAGGGAACCCATAACCAACGTACAGCGGGGATTTCTCATGTTCAATTGTAAATGTGGACATACACTTTAAGTCTACTTGGTTGACTATATGAAATCCTGCTCTGCTTGGTACAGAACATCTCATCAGCTAGCCATCAATTATCTTGTTGTAGATTCCATGCTGCTGATAATAGAACTGTAATCCTGGGTTGGCTCCTCTACATATTTCAATTAGATATTAAAATAGCACATCATTACTTTTTTTTTTTACTTTGTTAATTGTATGTTGATAAAATAAATTATAGCAACAATTATTTTAAAACTGCTCAGCCTAGTTTTTTAGGAATGTTCTGCTCCTGAACCATGGAAAGAAGTACGTGACTTTGCAAATCGTTTGTCATGTATAATATTCCAGCTCTCAGAGTGTATCTAAAGTCACTTGTTTTATTTGGAGTGGGAAGAAGTTGGAAATGGGGGATGAGCTCGGGTTAGGATCAAACCTGGTCCGAACCAGAGCTCTTCCACACAAGAGCACTTCCACCCAATTAACTTTAAGCTGGTTGCAGAAGAAGTCCTGGAAGATTCTACGGTGGCCATCACAACACGCTACCCTGCACAACATGCTATCCAAAAATTCTGGAAGCTTGGACAAGTAAAAAAAGTAAAAAAACACTTACTTTTGATGCCCTCTGTGAAGTGCATGATGAACTGTCGCAGCGTTGAATCTCCAATCAGGAAGAGCTTCTTTCCCTGCAGACATTTCACATAGTCCTCGGCGGTTTTGTAGGTGGTCATCGAGCAGTAAGCGGGCTTCCAAGTACCATTGAAAAAGTGTCCGCTTGGGAACGGCGAGCTCATTCCCGGCTGACATTTCGGCTTTGGGGTTAACGGGATTTCTGGAAGAAAGATTGTTTTTTCATGGGGAATAAATATCACATAGTAACATAAACGTCATGTGGTCAGGCTAAAAAAATAAATAAATCACAAAGCCACACGTTTAACCCCCAAAAACTCTTTCACCACTAGAAATATAGGGGCGAGTCTTCCTAATGGGGACATAGACTGCAATCAAAACATGACGGGGTCTAGCGATTCCCCCACGCCATACAAAATTGAAGAAAGCAATGTTTTGCCTAGAAAGAAAGTAAATAAAAATGAACAGCCCATTACAAGTTAAACTAACAAAACCAGCTTTTGCTGCAATATTCTGCTTCCGCCTAGAGATTTCCTCCGCAATACTTTTATTTCTACCACTAGATGTCCTCACCCTGAGGACCGGCATCTTTCAGCACGCTTCCTCTGAGCCCAGGTCATCCTGGACCCGTCTAAAACCTGTGACTGGATAGTGAAAGGAGAATCAGCAAAGTGATGATCTCCTCTCTGTTACCCTACTCTCTCCCCCTATCAGCATGCTTCTTGCTAACACTTGAACTGATTGGTTCTTTGTGCTGCTTCTGCCTCAACTGAGCCGAAGTGACAATCGAAGCGGGGTGAACACCTCGCACATGACAGCTGTGTGGAGCCAGCCGTGATTTCACGGCTGGCTCCGCCCAGTTGCAATGACAGATCAGCCTCCCCAATACATGTAGCCAAAAATAGTCAATGACGTCACTGCATCCCGCCCATTTGCTCATGTCAAGCCATTGTAAGGAAATTCCCGGCCCGCAGCTGATTGGGTAGCTTGGAAGGATCTACCTTCCGTGTTTGGGAACAGCTCCTTCCAGGTTTGGAGGGGCTCAGGTCAGTACCAGGCTTGGTCCCAACCTGAGCACATCACTGGTTAGAACCCTGGACAGGTTTTCATAGCTTCTTGTGGGAAGATTGACTCTCTTTTTGTCCTGGTAACTCCCATCAGGATAGAAAGGAAAGGAAAATTCCAAATTTGGAGTTGTCACCAGTAGACATCCCGGGTATGATAAAGTTTGAAACACAAAATTAAAAAATTATAATATAATAAATAATTATAAATAATTATAATAT